TCTGGAGATGAATAGAAACTTGCTCTGATGAGATCTCTACTAACATGCACTGATTTTCTGAACCCATTTCTTTCATGGTCCAAAGGCAGCATAGCTTTGTAATGGCTGTGGGATGACACTTTGAGCCGTGCACTCCGTGAGAAAGGATTCTTCACTGAATGGAGTGTCTGCAGGAGCAGCTGGCAGCCCAGCCATACAAAGCACAGGGACTCGCTCTTTCTCTGACCAGTGCCTTCATTTTGGCTGTGCAGAGTGGGAAGGTGTGGCTCAAAGCTGCTGTAGGTGACCGTGCCCAGCACCATCTACCACCTACTAGTGGGAGGCACTGGCAAGACTGCCCAAAGCAGCTTTTAGTAGCAACAGCCTAAAAATCTCGTCTTTCTGAACCTCAGAAGCCAAGATTTCTTCTCTTTCATCTCTCCCCAGAGGGTAAGGAGGTCTTTAGTACAGGCCCAGCTAGATGCATGAGAAACAACCCTGACAAATGGTTTAAATTATAAAGTACAGCAGCGGTGCCAAGTCCTGCAGTACGAGCGCCAAGATTGGGAACGTGGCTGTTCCCCAGCACTTGGCAAGGTGGTGACATCTCGTCACCGCTCTCCGTGAGCGCGAGGCCCACACAGGTACACGGACCAGTTGGCTGGGGCAGGATGCAAAGCAGTGTGGGAAAGCAGGAGGAAGCCTGCCAAGCTTTTCCCAAGGAAAGTCACAGTCACATTTTTTCAGAGGGTTCTGCTCCAATGTGAAATTACTCCTGGTGGCAGACAGAATGCAGCCTCCAAAGCTCTCAATCAGTTACACTGATGTGTCACGTGGGCTCCATCCCAGTTTGCACTGGTAATGAAGGGTGAACGCACAACTATTTACTTCCAGTGAAGCATGGTCCTGACACAGAAAGCTGTGAGAGTGCTTTTGGAGCAAGTGCTGATTGTTGGAAAAGGCACCTGGAACTGCAGGGAAAAAAGGAACAAAAACAAAAACAAAGCCATACAATAAAGAAGTCTGTTTTTACATTTAATTCCTCCTGGGTCCAAAGCAGAAGGATTTTTCACCTTCATTGTAAATAGTACAGCATCTACATAGCTGTATCCATCACCAGTTCTATCTCTTGGTGGGAAGAACCTGCAAGTCAGCTACGGCCAACTTTAAAGCATTACCATGCTAGACATGTCAGTCAACTGTTCAAGAATCCTTTTGTCTCACTACACATTATTCACAGCTCAGTGCCATTCTGCTGTCTTCTTTCAGAGATGGCCAGACATTTAATTTTGAAGGCTGCTACAGGGCATCAGAGCTTTCTATCCAGAAGATCATGCAGATGCATTGTACTGGTTGATTCTCCTTTCCCAGTCAAAAAGATTTTTTCCATTGCCAAAGGCCTCCCAGCTCTTCCCTTCCTTACAAAATGCACGAGTCTTGTACTGCTCTGTAGTTGCTGCAAACATTTAACCTGCAGCTTTTATTCAGGTCAGTACTACAGAATGGAGAATTCACTGCAACTTCCTGCATAAGCTGAAGTGTAGCAGCGTGGCAGGGCTTTCTCCTGAGGTGGGCACTGAGTTTGCCTCAGCTGGATCCTTCTGTATGAAAATATATTTGGAAAAAGAGGTTCAAGAGACAATTATTATGGCAGCCACAGAAAAGAAGCAGAACATCGTGTTCCTCTCCAGGACATGGTGCAAGCCTTATGCCCAGCAGCCATCAGAGTGGCATTGCTTTCTGCCTTTGTCCATTAGTTTCCAATAAAAAACAACTGCAGGCACATTTCCACCCGAGAATCTTTACCTTCTGCCATTTCCAGGCTCCATGGAAATTTCGGTGGCTGGCACCAGATATGCAAGTGAAAGGAAACTCCAATTTTATGAGCAAGTAGAAACTTAAACCAAGCAAGCTGTTTCTTGTATTTTATTTGCTCTATTAAAAAGTCTAGGATTAAAAAAAAAAAATGCTGAATATAAAAATGACATTTACTTTACAGGTGTCTGTAGAAATCTGGGTTTATTTTAAAAATAAATATAAAACCTGCAGAAGGTCTTAATTTGTTTTTGCTACAAAATTCTCTCATTATAAAAGGATGAGGAAAAAAGGCCCAACTAGTTCCTCTTCATTTTATGCTCACTGCTTTAATCCAGTGTTGCAAATGAAGCAACAAACAAAATTCTGAGAAATACAAAAAGTTCCTACAACTACCAAAGCCTCATAATACAACATTCAGCTGAAGCGCAGCGACACTGACATGAAAGGATTTTCATTTCTAAGAAATACGTGGATAAATTAGAGTTTGAGGGTATGTGCATTCCTTTCTCATACTTAATGCACAGTGGCACTTTCACAGGGCACTTTCCAACAACTGGACCTGCTCAGTCCCAATCACCAAAACGTTGTTCCTGCCTGGCAGCAGCACTGCAGGTCACCCAGTGGGCTGGAAACTGGGCAGCACATAGGGCTGGGTGAAAAGGGAGACTTTGGAGGAGAAAAGTCCCCACTGAAGACCATTTGTAAGACCCACAGTTAACTAAGGTACAAAACTGCTGCTTGCCAGGTTCTTTATCCCAGGTTCTTTATGTTTTAGACTCTCATCCCTTATCATTTATCTAAACAGCACAACCTGTGCAGAGGGTGAGGTCAGTGCACTCCCAGATGGTGTTCTGCCTGTCCCTCCTGCAGATGCACAGGGATACACAGGGGTTCCACGTTCCCGAAAGCTGGGCTTGCTGTGTATCTACAACAACTGTGCAGTGCACCATCACTGCAATCAGCAGAGAATTAAAAACACAAGTAAATTTGTCTGCACTCAAAGTAAAAATAAATGTGAAGTTTCAAAATCTCCTGAGCTAAACGCTTTGTAATCAATTAGAACTTTGGCTTCATTTCAACTTAGGCATTTATTTTATAGTACAATGCAAAATATGAACTACATTGTGAATATTATAAAAGCTTTTATTCCAGATGGGAATGCCAGAACATTTCCACTGCTTTTTTTTTTTTTTTTCTCCCTCAAACATATTTCAGCAAGTATGATTTTATGAAAGCAGTTCATCTTCAGCAGAGCTGTGTGCTGATAGAAGAGGGAACTGTTGACTTTTGAAAGTAGAAACGATGCAGCCCATTAATTTTCACATTTGAAGGTTCTGCAGTTCTATTTGCATCATCTCAGCTGTTCTTATAAAACGTGCAAGTGTGTCTGTGTAATAATTCACAGTGGATGTGCCCACTCCTATTAAGGCATTGAACTCCGGCCCACTCTACATGGAGTGGTTCAGTTTTATGTTTTTCTTGTCTCTGTGCCCTTGCGTCAGTTCTGAAATAAGGAAAAGTGGTGATGGAAAAGAAAGCACAAACAAAATGACAAAATTGATAAAATCATCACCATTGCAGAGATGTGAAAAAAAGAACTTTCACTCATTATGCCTCATAAGAAAAGAACTGAAGACACGAAGAAATGATCAGAGGAGGCTTAAGATGAAAAATTCAACCAAAAAACCCAGTTTCCCACAGAAAGAATAATGAAACTAAATTCATTGTGAAAGTGATGGAATTCAAGATGAAACAAAGTTAAAAATGGATGAGTACGTGAAGGATAGGTTTGTTTACTTGCCATTAACCATGGGTCTTCTGCTGAAAAGCTTCCCCAAAGCCCCACTGCTGACAGCCAGGAGCACCTGCCAGTGAGAAGTGACTTTGCTGGCACCTCTCCCACCTGCTCTGCTTTGGGCAGGAGCACCGGGCTGGAAGGACGCAGAGCTGCTCAGCATCTTCACAGAGTTCTGCCCACACCACGCAGGTGCCGGCCTCCACATACAGGAGCACGGATGTGCGCTCCCAGCTCCACATATGGAGGTCTGGGTTCACAAGCCCACCCAGATACTGCGTGGAATTCAGGTATGCATTCAGCTTGGAAAGGCAGGCTTCAGAAGTCAGCAAGTTAAAAGGTGAGAGTCTCACCATAGACTTTTTTTAAGGCGCCTTTCTCAAAAAGATACTGGGCAAAATATTTCTTAAATATGTGTTTTGATTAATAATCTGTTCTGTCTAAGCTATAAAACGTGTTGTGCAACAAGACTGAATGAATATTGCTGTGAGAAATGTTTCCCCTTGTTTGAGTCATTTAAATTTGTAAGCTAATGTAAGTTTTTGTATTAAATAATGTACTGTGTGCAATCTTCTTTCTTGTAAAGCACTTTGAAGCTTTCGAAGGGCACTCTAGGTTAATAAATAATATGGTATTCTTTGCCAGAACTGTAGGGCATTTCCCATAAGTTCTGAATTTTCTTTGCCAGAATTGCAACACGTTGCATGCCAAATCCTGCACACAAATGCTCTGTATGTGGCAAATCCATATTGGTAAAGACCAGAGGCATGGCATTCCTGGATTTCTTAAGGAGGATGGAAGAAGGGAAAAAAGTGGGAGGAAATAATGAGGGAGAGGAAGACAGAAATTTGTCTGAGCATTAAAAAAACCAACACCACCCCAACCAACCCATAAGCCATACTTCGTTATTGTCAATGTCATTACTGTCAAAACTGTTGGCTGCATGCAGCACAGACCCATGGGTACCCAGAGGTGGGTCTTCAGCTCCTCCTTCACTTATGGAAACCAGGCCTCCATTTTTGTCCTTGCTTTTGATTCTTCAAAACCATCAGCTTCTGAAGGTCAAAACCCCTGAAATCCTTGTTTCTCTGAGCTTACGATAATGTTAGCAGAGAAACTGTGAGACCAGAGAACCACAGCCAGGATTACTACTATTTAACAGGCTGTGAAGACAAATCCTTCTCTTCAGGCAGAGTTGTGGATGCATTTCATGTGTCCTTGGCTACTGAACCCAGACCCATATTTTTGGAAAGAGAACACTTGGCCTTTTCGCAGTCTACCCCACGGATAAGTAGGCTTCTATTTCTGTACCTTGGAAGAAGAGGATTAAAAAGCATAAGACGCCGAAATGAAGTCAGTACGTTTGACTGCATATTGCAGAGGTTACATTAATGAAGGACACCAGGAGTTTAAAATTATTTCAGTTGCCATTTTCTTGATTTAATTTCCTTTTCGCAATAAGCACCAACGAAGAATCGCAACATTTCTCGCTAGCTGAGACTGAACATCCACAGCAGTTAAAAATGCCAAGGCGTTCTGCCCTTCTCTTTGTTAAAGAAATTAGTGACAAAAGTATTTAATCACCCAGCAACAAACAGCTCATTTAGAAGGCACTAAAACCTACCTAGAGCAAATCGGGCCTAAGCACCGAGATTCACCAGAGTTCAAACGATCAACTGAAATTAAAACTGAACTCCACATTCTGCAATATTAAATGAACGTTTTGCACCGTGGCTTTTTTTGAGGTGGCAAGAAATGAGTGTAAAACCTTTACTGTTGCCAGAATTAAACTGCTTGGAAAAAAATATCCTGTGGGTTACCATTTGTTGCCATGATTTACAAAGATAAGGTCGATAGTCTGCATCAATTTCATGCTGAAGTTTTAAAGGAAAGAAGCTTTCTGCAGAGTTTGTAGATTTCTGCATAATGGACTGTGTTGTGGCAAACAGGACTAAGTGATGCTCCCTCACAAGCTTTTCAAGAAAGTTTGCACATTTCTTCAGATTCATCTGCTGCGAGTTAAGACTCTCCCCTCCGTTACTCCTGTCGATCCAATAAAAAGCTGATATGCTATCTAAAATCAAAAGGCAGAGAGAGGGGTGGGTGCAAAACATGTTTTCTAGAGAATGAAGAGTGAGAAGTAACTGGGTGCTACTGTTACAGTTCACAAGAAAAAGCCTTCCCAGGCAGCACTTCATCACCTCTTCCGTGCTTTGCTCCAGTCTGTGCTCAAGAATGGTAACGAGACGAAGCATATCAAAATGGTAGTCTGTGTCAATGAACATGACTTCGACTTCCAGTCCCCCTCCTGATTTTGGAATGATGCAGCGGGCTATCAGGTGATAAAGCATTTCAGTTTTTCCTGTTCCTTCTGGACCATGGAATTCAATGACATCTCCTGTTCATAAACAAAGAACAAGCTGTCACACGAGGGCTCCGAGTCAACTCTCAGTGTTCATGAACCAATACTCACTATTCCACTCATTTGAAAAAGCATTTTCGAAAGCTTTGAGAGACATAACAATTGTTTAAATGCTAGTATGCATCTACCAAGAGAAAATCAAACTGTCCTGTGCTTGTCTGCTATCTGCACACATCACAACATCCCACTGGAACAGGTGACCGTAAGGAGAATGCCTGTATATTTAACACATACTCTTTTCTGTGTTCATCACGTGAAGCTGCTTCTTTCAACAAGAGGAATTCACAGATTACCTTAATTCCAGGCAATGATTCTCCTGTTGGAAGCAGAGGTTCTCTGTTCACAACTTTCTATAGCGGTGATGCAGGAATAGAGAATCAATTGCAACTGCACTTAAACACGTTTGTTCCTGCCTGAGTTAACAGGGGTTTTCAAGTCACTGCTTAACTTACAGATGATATCCTTGCTTGCAAGTGCATACAGCACCAAGATGCAGTTTGGGAAAAGTGTGGCAGTGAAGAACTAAGCTCCTCACCCACTGCAAGTGTTTAAAGCCATTAACACCTGATGTAACAATGCACCCATTTCAATGGCACTCAACCGCCCACCTCTCCCTACTGAAATGCCCTGCTTATCCAACACTGCAATCTCATTTTTCTGAATTTCTGCTACTTCAAAATTTATTTTAAAAGCTGGATTGCCTCCCAATATTTTCAGAAATTGCAATATCCAACTCCACCACTTGCAGCCAGTCACCGCTCTGCTGTGCCACATACAGCGTTGCACCGGTGACACAACACAACACTGGTGCAATTGTAACACCCAAAGGAAGAAGTCCTAAACACGCTGGGTAGGTCATGCCCCCACAGCTCAGATCTGTTGAAATCTTCAAGAAGATTGTGTCAGCTATCTGTCATTAAAGAGCAAAGCGTGCATTCTGCTTGCTACTGGCTTCAGCACAAGCTTTCTGCTGCCCCAAATGGCATTGCTGAACCCAGGTCAATGGCTGGCTTAGGCCAACACGCAATGCAGACTGTTAGACCGACCTTCACACAACACACCTTCAAAGAATGCAGCAATTCCATGCCCTTTCAGAAGCAGCAGTGGAAATCCGATTTGCTATTCGTAGTGATGCAAATCCATCATTCTGTGCAGTAAGCGTTTGACTTCATCCACTTGAAAATGTTTTATCAAAAGCTCTCTACTATTTCCATTAGTGCCATACACAGAACATTGGTGGGGCCTCTTCTGGGCTGAGCTAACAGACTTAAGTAAAACTTATAGCTCGATGAAGAGCTTTTGTGCTGGCTTATAAATTCTAACAGCAAGACTTAAAGTTTGTTCCATGTTGCTAAACAAGATGTGCACCCAGGTTGGAGTTTGACCAAAACACTTAAGTTATGCTGATGATCTGTACAGAAAAACAGTTTGGGCTATAAGAAAACCTCAAGGGAGCAGGGCACTTCTGTGCCTTCGTGATTACTGAAGGGACTGCCCACAAAAAGAACTGATGCAAAGCAGAACCCATTTATAGGAGTAACTATAAATGCAGGGTTTCCTTCAATTAGAGGCCAGGCTGCTACAGTAAGATAAGGAAGGGAAATTCATCCTTCTGGATCAGAGCAGACAAACGATGACACAGCAGTGCAGGAAGTATGGCCAGCAGTGCTTTCAAAAAGCCACTGACACTATCTCTCACATTAGGTCATGGAGGAAAGCGAGGGATCAGGACCAGCATCATCCATTAATGTCAAAGCACTCCGAAGGGAGGATTAGTATAGAAGTACTGCTCAAAGGATGGAAGCAGCCCGAGAGACTGAGTAGGAATAGACACTTTAACATGGAAGAAAGATAATGGGAAATTGTTGTGTTAGAATTCGTGTTGCCTGACATTCACAGTATCAGTGAAGGAATGTTCCATGAGATTGGCAGAACATGCGAAAGACAACCCTACTGGGTTAAGTTAGGCTGGGAAGGTTTGACAGATCAAGGTGGATTATCAGAATTATTTGATAAGAAATTCAGCACTGATAGATTGAAGAAGCATGTTTTAAAGGGCAACCCAACACACCACTGGGCTCTTAACAGCTTGAACTACTGACAAAACAGAACAGGCCCACGATGGGCAGACTGAACAACACCTCTGCTATGCAGGATAAGCTAAATGATGTTCTGTAAACATCAGTATTCATATAACACTAATGTATTTTAAAACAAAATGCTGTGCTCCATCCTAGCCATCAGTTCTGTGTCACTGTTAGAACCACAAGAGTCCTGAGACTTTTCTGTACTCGTTATGCTCCTGAATGCTGGTCAATCTGTTTTGTGATGCTGCGTTCAGAAGCGGGCTGTTGGAATCCTCAGCAGCAGCACTGCAGGTTTCGTACCATCAAATACCTTGAAGTTACCAGGCTAGTAATTTATCACACCGTGTAGAAGCCGTCATATTTGTAAGTGGGGTAGAAAGGCATAATATTTATTTCAAATTAATTCTGGGTGTTACACTACTGCTGCACATCAGAGCTTTGTATGGACACCCACACCTTCTTGCCAATGGCACAGGAGAAATATGACTGGCTACAGAGGAAGCTTATTTAAAGCTCATGTCATTTTTGCTCTATTCCAAAAGAACTCAAATGGTCTGTAATTAACACACGTGTTCTTAAATATACGATTCCATCATAATTGGAAGCAGTGACTGGAATATCACAGCAGGACCTCTATTAACAGTCCCTATTTCATAATATTCTGACACACGTGTTACGAACACTGAACTGTGATGTAACCTTTGTATGGCTTATTGAAACTTTATATATTCATGCTGCTTTGTTTCAAATACCATCAGGAAAGAAAAATTTAGGTCATTGCATTGCTTTCATCTCACCATTCTTTCATGGGCCATGTAGAAAGACCCACTGAAAATGAGGTTTTTGACAAACTGAGGCAGACATTCAACAGGGACTGGATAATGAGAATGCATGTGAAAAAAACACATGAACTCATAAATAAATATACTGTGGTACTAAAAGACAAAGTAAAAATATAATAAAAGTTGAAGTCCATATATATATATATATATATATATATATATATATATATATATATAAAGATTTCTGCTAACATTACACAACTCCATTAGTGTCAGCCAAAAAGCATGAGCAGCACAGATAATAATTCATGCCATTGGTTAAAAGCAAAAGAAAAAGAGAAGTGCTTTATAAGTTCAGTGAATGTATTGGCACAGAGAGAAACCGGTGATGAAATCAAAAAGTTCCCATCCATCTCAGAGCAGAGGTTCTGGAGGAGTGTTTGGACAGCCTTGAACAACCCACAGAGCTCTAAGATCAAGGCAGATATGTTATGAATGGAACTATAAAACCCTGCTGACTGAAGCAGTGAGGGCAATTACTGGCCCCCAAGAGAGGCTTCTCATAGGCTGTTCTACCAGGATGTGCCCCGTTCAGCCTCAATTGTTTCTTAAATGTGAAGTACAAAAACAGACCAAAATATAGCATTTTCTAATCCTGCATTTTTAAAAAAGAAAAGTATTTCATCTCAAAAAAGAAATCCCCAATAATAAAACTTCAGGAGGCATTTGAAGCATACACCATTTTCAGGATTCTTCTTGCAGGTAACAAAACAACTCAGAATGGAGAGTATTTAAATCACCTTCTATTCTCTGCTCCATTCACAATGACTTACCAATATCTCTCTGCCCTTTGTCTTTGTTATATCACATTTGAAACTTTTGTGCGTAGGAATCATATATTGCTGAACTCTTAATGTAGTCCCAAGTGCTGCAAAATAATACACAAATGGGCTCACAGAGACTGCGTTTGTAGACTGAGAATCATCCCTCATCCAATTACCTTGATTCTTTTTATTGCTTTTTCTTCTATTTCATCTGAACCTGCTATAATTTGTGGCAATCCAAATTGCAGACATGTTGATAAGTGCTGCAGCCACACACTTCTCATATTAAGTCTATTCATTCATTCATGTACATATAGATAGATAGATATTCAACAGCAGTAGTACCTCACAGCATGAGCCTTTCAGTTTCTGATTCATCTGCCTTTGTTATCAGGTATTCCAAGCTTTGTGTACTCAGAACAGCCTTTTCCACTGGAAATCCATGGAATTTCACAACCTGGAAAAGCTGTCCAACAACATCCTGGATTTTCAAGGAATTACTGGATGAGTTCCTTTCCATTGAGCTCAGTAACTTCTTTCATTACAACTCTTACACTGACAGGTTTGCACAAATACATTAAAGATACATTTTTACCATGAACAGGAGATCCTTCCTCAGCAAACAGATTAGGTTCAAGGTTTTTCAGAGAACTTCTGCCCTCAAGGCGCGCAAGCAGCTTTAACAAAAAGACAGAAGAGACATGCTGTTACCTCAAAATAATGGAGCTTGGGAATCACTTGCAAAGGATTCCAACAACAGGGAGTTTTCAATGACATTTCTATTTTAAAATGTTTTCATAAATACATATGCAAACCCACAATATGGAGAACAGCAGCAGAAGTCTCCATCTTACCAACGCAGGTCCAATGGCAGTAAGGAACAGATTTACACCAGGAGAAATAAAGGAGAAACAGAAGAACAAACGCGAAAGCTACACAGGCAGACTAACAAGAGGGATTATCATAGAATCACAGAATGGCCTGGGTTGAAAAGGACCACAATGATCACCTACTTTCACCCACCCCTGCTACATGCAGGGTCACCAACCAGAAGACCAGGCTGCCCAGAGCCACATCCAGCCTGGCCTTGAATGCCTGCAGGGATGGGGCATCCACAGCCTCCTTGGGCAACCTGTTCCAGTGTGTCACTACCCTCTGTGTGAAAAACTTCCTCCTAATATCCAACCTAAACCTCCCCTCTCTCAGTTTAAAAACATTCCCCCTTGTCCTGTCACCATCCACCCTCATAAACAGCCATTCCCATTTCTGTTTATATGCTCCCTTCAGGTACTGAAAGGCCACAATGAGGTCTCCCTGGAGCTTTCTCTTTTCCACGCTAAACAAGCCTAGTTCCCTCTACCTTTCTTCATAGGAGACAACCTCTGATATAGAGCAGTGCAGGCATCAGATAGAACAAGAGGACAGAAGATTATGTGTAACAATCATCACCTGCACACTACTGGTTGAGGTGAAGCATTACCCACCGTGAGTCTTAGCACACTTATGTGTAAAAACATGCACATTCATTTGAAAAGTTGTGCAGAACTCCCATGGGCTACCACTCCTATTGCATTAGAGCTACTTGTTCAAACACAGTATAGATTAAAAACAATCCAAAGCAATTAGCCACCAATGGCTTTTCAAGAACCTGTGTAAAGCAAGTCCAGATTTGTAAAGCGAATTCCTCCAAAGTGCACTGCAAAGCGAGCCCATTGTAAAACAAGTTAGCCAAAGTTCATGGACAGTTTCTTAAACTGACAGGTATCTGCAGATACCCAGCAGATACTCACCCAACTCTACAGTGCAGTTTTGGCACAGGAGAATCAGCACTTCACCCAATGCTCTTGTTCCCCATGAGTAGCAACACACGTGGGAAAGGACGCTCTGGGATGCCCGCAGCACTGCCAGTGCCAAGTATTTAATTCTGCAGGACACCCAGCTGTCATTTAAAGATTTCAGCAAAACCAAAAGAAATCTTGTTTGGTTTTATTGCATCCTCCTTAAAGCCAGTCATGGAACGAGCACAAAGCTTTAAATGTACACCATCTTATCTCACTTTCCTCCCTGCTGTATCAAGGAGGAGCTTTTGCTCTGAATTCTCTTAAAAGCTGTTTAAACAGTTATGCGCTTGTGTTTGCCTTTAATAGCGGAATAAAGCCGCATTAAAGGGCCCTGAATTTACTTGAAGTGATCATGATGGAAATCTAAGTGTGACATTTCCATTGACATTTTAGCATTCCGTTCCATTAAGAAAATGTCAATGTGTTCACCTTTGTTTGCTCGTTCCCACATCACCAGGAGAGCTTTCTGACGAGCCCACCGAGGGGCCACGAATCGCAGGGGCTGACCTCGCTGTGGACCTGCAGACTCTCCTGCCACACAGCCCGTGTTTGTGCAGCAAACTGAACACACCAAGAACTCTTGAGTATTTGGGGAACCAGTAGGGTTCTGCAAGCTGGGTGAAGCAAACAGCTGGATGGACATGTAAAGAGAACATAGAAACATTTCTGAGCCCCTACACACGCACCCAAAATGCAGTTATGGCCACCCAGACCGCAGCAGCAGCCCCAGTCCATGGCAGGAGAAGCTTCCCCAGCAGCAGGGCAAGGGCTCCTGCCCCCCTCATGTGGCACTGCAAGCTGTCACAGCCAGGAAACCACCACAGGCTGCTGCTCCTGATGCCCTTTAGCTCCCTGCAACAGGACGGGGGCTGGGAGCAGCAGCACTGCCAGACTGCAACACAAGGCCCCAAGGAAACACATCCCTGCAGCCTGCTGCTCCCTCATTTATCTCTACACTAACAAATACACTCCCTGCAGACTTTTTTTTTCTGGAAACGAAGAGCCCCTTTCTCTTCTCAGACTATCACCTCTTCAGCTTCCTGCCACAGCACTGGAAACACACAGCAGAGCAGTGCTATTGTTTAAATACGAATCCGTCATTGTTTAAATGAGTTTATGCACTCATTTTAAATAACTACAGGTGCTCACTTTGAGCAGTCCTCCTGTAGGTAATTTATGGTAATTTGCTGATGATAGCACACCTGTGTTTTTATCTAACTCCTATTTACTTCTGAGTTCTGAAGCAGAATCTCCAAAGGCACTTGCCTCATTAGTGTCACACTGTGAGCAGTGGGGTTTCTGGCAGAAGGAACGAACAATTTGCCTTCCCAGCTCACAAGGGTTTGTCCACACGCTGACAGAAGTGACAGCAGCTGAGCTGTACCGTGATGAGACAGCAGACAGGGATCCCTCACCTCTGCAGGCACAGACAGTGACAAGGCGGGTTTTCCCAAACCAGCAGGAGCTGCCTTGGCTGTGTTCCAGGGAAAGCGTTTCCATGTTGCCTACTTACACAGTCTTCTAGATAATGGGGGAAAGGGAACACCTATGGGGATTAAAGGGTGGCCTCAGTGATGGAGGTCAGGTGTCTCAGAAGAGCTATGGGTAAAGCCCTGCCATGCAAAAAGCATGGAGAAAAAAGCACCCATAATTTGAAATCGTGTAATTCAGACTTCTGATTCTGTAATTTAGCTGTAGATGCTCTTCCTTTATAATGCTCTTTCATCATCTTTCATAGAAAACATCACCTTTTAGCAACATCCTGGTGGCAGGTCTTCCCTTGTATGCATTCTTGAGAAGTGCAATTATCCATGAATGAAACTGCACACAGGTGTGCATGCAGGAGTAGGGAATAAGCTATCCAGCATGAGTTAATTGTCATCAATGTCATTAATGACAATGCTCAAATATTTCAATGTTTTTTATGATTTATCAATGCCATCTTTTTAATAAAGAAACAAGCATTTGAGCAGTCCCATCAAGTAAAACATCACACGCTCGCACCATATAAGTCTCAACAAAGTTGGGCATAAAGGTAAGCATATGTGTAGGCCTTGTCAGAAATGAGATATTACTTAATTAAAATGTTAAAGAAATTCAAATTAAATACTTGAACTCTGCTAAGGGCTGTGAGCTAACCTACAGGCTATTTGTAAGTACAAATCTATTTCATGCATGAGACAAATCTTAATTCTCAACCACCTCAACTGCTCCACCTGAACTTCTGTAAACTTTGGGCACGAAGATGTGTGCTAGCAATTCATCACTTATTTGTGATGTACCAATGGCGTTTTATGAGACGTTTTAATTTGTTGCATTAATTTCACTAAAGAATAAAATTGCAAGGCTGTGATCTCCGTATAATCCTCACTAAAATCAGATCTTAAGCACCAGGATGTCGGAGGAAGCTTATTTTCAATGAAATGCCGCTTGAAGGGCTTTACCTGGATGGTGCGCATGGCTCCTATGGAGGCAGTGGGGTTGCTATCCCTGGGGGGTCCCAGAGCCATGCAGATGTGGCAGAGAGCCATAGCCACTGGGTACAGTGGGGTGGGCTGGGATTGGACCTGGTGATCTGAGAGGTTTTTTCCAACCTTCACGATCCTGCGATTGCACTGTAAGACTCCATCAACCCATCGGCTATGGGTTCCTACCTCGCTCAGGTTTGGTCATCAGTGAGTGTCAAAAACCCTTAAGAACAGAAGTCCCTTACAATAAAATGGCGTTTTAACGCACAATAATTAAGACCACTCGTGTTGCTACGCTTTTATGTGCTCCACGCAGCGTTATTGCGACAGGGTAACACACAAACTTCCAGGTAATTAACTTACTGATTACAAGCAGGAATAACAAACGCCTCAGGAAAGGAAAAACCCGAAGAGCCCCCAAACTGAACCCCCTTGCGTCTGAAGACCAGGATTCTACCATCCGCACAGCACGTAAACCACCACCAGCCTTTCCCCCTCCGTTTCACGGCTTTTCTTCCTCACAGCACCCACTGCACCGTTCGGGAGCGGCAGAGCAAAGAAAACCCTCGTAAAGACATCACCGCCACAGCTCCAAGCACTCCCGCCTTACGCCGCCACAGGCGCAGCCCTGCAGCCCGCCGCTCCCCTCAGGCACTGCCCGCCCCCTCCCGGAGCCGTGCTCCAGGGCAGGCGGGGGGAAGGGCGGCGGAGCGGGGGCGGGCGGGTGCGGCTGGGCCGCTGCCCCTCCCCTCACGCACCGCCCTCGCGGGGCCCGACCGACGCGGGGGCGCCCAGCCCAGCCCGCGTGGTTACACGGCGCCCGCCCTCAGGGGGCGGGATGGGGCCGGCTGCTCCGTTCCCTGGGCCGAAAGGAGGCGCAGCGCGCAGCCGCTGTCGCCAAGTGGACTCCCTGGGGGTTCTGAGGGGAGTGGGGGCAGCGCCTCACCTGAGTGCCCGACTCCGCCCTCCGGAACGCGTCACCCATGGCGCGGCCGGGGGAGGGGGTGCCGCTCCGCTCCCGATCCCCCTCCGGCCCGGCGGGCTGCGGGAGCTGCGCAGTCGCGTTGCGGCTGGGCGGCAGCTGACGGTGCCGTGCGCGTGCGCGGTTCGAGCCGCGGGGTGGGCGGTTCGGTGGCGGGTTCGAGGTTCGAGTCCGTTGGTGTCTGTGGCGCTTGGTGTTCCCGTGGGCGCAGTCTCTGCGGGGAGGCGGATGTTTGTTTCTTTTTATAAAAAAGGTTTATCTCCGTTGTAGGTCGTTTGTTTTTCTCTTGAGATGGAAGTGGGCGTTTAGGAACGCCTGCGGGCCTTGGGCAGGGCTGGCAGCATGAGGCGCGGTGCCTGTCAGCACAGGAGGCCGCAGCCCCGCCCTGAGCCACCGCAGCGTGCCGTGCCGGGCTCCGTGTTTGCCGCGGGCATCCCTGTGGCTTCTAGGAGAAGTCCTGCTTCCCAGTTCTACACAGAAACGTGAGCAGAGCAGACTGCTGTGTGCAGAAGTGGCTGGAGCTGAGGTGACTCAGAGGAAACTCATATGCGTGGCAGTCATTGAACTCCGACGCTGGCAAAATTAGCCTTGTAGAAGCCGGCTATCAATTATGGCTTATATTTAAAAAAATTTGGGATGTTTTACATGCATACCTCTGGATGAGCTGCCTCGCGTGGCATGCAGTGCTCCAGGGCAGGATCCCAACGACCAGTGAGGCTCTGGTGGTTGGTCGTGGCCCATTGGTCTCAGCTGTGCTGGGGGAAACGTGGAGAACCTGTTTGTGTTTTCCCTAGACTCGGTGCTAGCCAGCAGGGATAAGTATAGCAATCCCACTCCCTGTATCTGCATATCAAAGGACAGCAGTGATACCATCCCTTTGGGATGAGGGAGGTTATCAGTGATACTGCACGTTCTTACAGATTGGAGGAGAAACCACCAGTGGAGTTCTTTGTTTCTTCAAAGAGGTGAAGTTTGTCTACATAAAAAGTCTCTCCTGGAGTGAGATTGAATCTACCACGAATCAGAAAAACCTAACCTCAAATCGAAGGCGTAGGCTTTGTTTACTTTTTCAACCTTCTTTCAGCCCCCAAATCACTCCCTCTAATTCAAAACACCCTGTTGTTGCCACCTCGTTCAAGGTTTTTAGCTGAATGCCACTTACTTCCACAAAGACAGGCAATTTAATCTCATTCAAAACAGTACTTTCAGCATCATGTTCTCAGTGTCCAATGTCTCATTAAATAACAAGAAGTAAGTACTCTTTTGGACAGCTGTTGTAGGCTTTCTTATTCTCTGGGTATAAATACATGTAAAATTATCAAAAGCAAAGGTGATTAGCTCTTTAGTATTAAATCAGTAAGGTTGGAAAAGGCTACTATCATCTAGTCCAACCATCACGGCATCCCCACCACGTCCATTAAACCATGTCCCTCAAAAAGGTAAGAAAGACCTGGGTGGCTCCATGGGGACACACAGCATGAAATGCAGTTTTGAAGGTCAGACAACCTTAAGAATTGTGTGCCTGATTGTTCTTACAGTACCATAGAGGTCTGGATTGTGTTCCCTGGAAGTATTTAAAAGGTTTCTTAATTAGAAGTGATTGCCCTTGAAGCTGACTGATGATTGAACCTAACCCGACAGTAGAGCAGACTCACTGTGTGTTATGACAAAGACACTACTCATTGCATCAACCATGTGATTTGATTTTTTTTTTTTTAATTATAGCCTCTTTGTTGCTGTTCTCTAATTAAAGCCATTGCACTAATTTAAAAAAGCGATTGCTGTTTGAATTCGGAAACATAAAATACACATAAATGTCAGTTGGCTGAAACCCACTCCTACCTCATCACTAATCATTGTCTGTATCCTGGTAGGGTCCTATGGGAACTCTGCGTGGGTGAACACAGTTTTGGTATTACAATCTAATGCAAGATGAAGTATCACAGCTGAGTAGAGATCAAGTGACAAAGATTCCAGAAAGAGAGGCTAAAAACGTTGAACTCACCAGAGCAGTAAAAAAACCCAGGTATTTATTGGCCTGATATGTTTAGTACATAACAGAAACATGTAAATCAAGTAAGTGGTCATCTTGATAGGCAGGTTGCAGTAACCAGCTCTCTTATGTTACCTTTGCATTCATGTGCTGAATATATTGAGGCTGGCATTATTAATTTGGAAAACTGATACTTGCTCTGACAGTGCTCTGCCTTAATAAAGAATCACATTTTTGCTTTTTACGTTTATTTATCAGTACAGTTACTTTTCTTGGCAGATAGAAAGTGAGGTTTTGGCAACTATACATATTTCAACCTTTAACCAGCCCCACGCCTTACACAGATCTTTGTCTACCAAAGTCCCTGCACTTCAGCAGTCAGCACCGTTGGCATCTTATCAAATGCAGTATTGTATTTTTTTTCAAACTTGCCAATGTATTTCTCATCCATTTGCCTTTTTTGGTTTTCTATGTGTACAGTAATCTCTGTGTTTACCTTGTTCCTTTAGAGAAAAACATTAACGTGGGTAAGCAAGAAGACTCTCTACCATTGGCTTCATCAAAGATAGATAAGAATCGACTCTGTTTCTGCTTTGTTTTGTTCTGTTTACATTCTTTTTTATTTCTCTGCAGCATTCCTGAGCAATAGGGAGCACCAGGAATACAGTATCCTACCTGCGCCTTATTCTGTTTTTCTACTACAAAGAAGAATCCTCCTTAAGACAGAATCCTCCTTAATGCAGTATGGCTATAAGTAGATCATTCTATCCAGGGACTCTATGCCCCAGCACTCCTGTTTCTACAGGCAGAAAATTAGTCTTCCTTTGTTTGGCATGTGGGGAGCCTCAGGGTGCCCCTTGAGCCATAGGCACTGTTTATGTAGCAATTCAGCAGCAAGAGCAATGACTTTTCTAATAGCAGAAAGATCAGGCTCTAGGAGTGTGCATCTCTGTCTGCACAAAGTGCACATTGTGGAGAAAATTCCTCTTTCCCAATATATATTTTGAACATCTTCCACAGTGAGAGGTTTTCCCCTGCACGTGTTTAAGACATTCACGGTTGAGAGAGAAAATGATGGTGCTAGAGAGGAAGGCATTTAAAGCGGAGTTGCAGCCTCAAGCAGAATGATCTTTTAATATTATTATTATTTTTTGTATTTGCTTATTTATCCATTCGTCATTACTAATTTCAGCCAACAGAAGGAAGCTGGGTTGGGTTCTGGGGAAGGAAGGACTTGCATGAATGCCCTGGGGCTGTAGAGACCTGAGTCGACTGTTTATATAAACATTAGTTAATTTTTTTTTAAGACACAAAGTCCTAACCTTAAATTGCCAGTTGGTCTGCAATACAGAGACAGCCCAGAGACTTAACACCCCATCCTGGAACAAGGCCTGAGGTAAGAGCAAAACAATGGGGAGAAGCACAAAGCAAACCAGTGTGGTGACAAGAAATGTAGACTGTGTGAGGATGTTTGCAAAAAGGTTCAAATACATCAAGTTTTTATATTTAATTAGGTAATAGCTAAATTAGAAACTGGAATTTAAATGTTTCTTCCTTTAAGCAGTGTTTTTTTTTCAATTACAGAGATTTTGTTCCAACATGAGCTTCATTATTTTTGGTGTGTTGTCACTTAGTGTTCCTTGCAAGATTTGTGTGGGTGACATTCCAGCACAAACCAGCTCCAAACGGATCTTCTAGGTTGAAAACAGTTTGTATAGTTGGGTTAAACTCTTTAGTGAAGTCAGCTGTTGCTTTGCTCGTTAACCTCTAGAACACCTTTGCTCCAAATGTGGCAAGTTGGCTATCTGAAAACTCACTTAAACAGAAGAGTCACTCTGAAAGACAAAACAGAAAGGTCTCATTTTTTCGGTCTGCCTCATTTACTCCTTTGTCTAGTTATGCTCAACGCCCAGAAGGCTGATGAACTAAAGACCACCTCAGAGTCCTAAATAAGTCTCAGCTAATACTGATAACAACAATAACCGTTTGGAAAGTTCTGCCTTCAGGTGGATGTTGAATCTGCAGGTGGCAAAGCAAATGATGGACTGCCTTTCAGATTATGCACAACCTGTCTGTTGTGTGACTCCTCCAGTTTCATGTGGCTGATTTCTGCCCCACTGTTCCAAGTTTCTCTCAATAACTGAAGTGATCTGTCACTGGGCTTTATTAGGTTTTCTGAGAGCAGATGGCTGATTCTTTTTACCTGGAGAGCTGCCACTTTCTGTAAATGCATCTCAGTTTTACAGTAGTATAATTTATCTGTTTGCGTGACAAATAAGCAGGTTAAATTACTAGGGTGTTATAATTTCAATGGCTTTAGAGAAGGTGATAGATTTGCTGTACAACCTGGGGGAAAAAAAAGAGG